TTCCACAAAAGGGGAGCAGTGTAACAGAACCCTGTATTGTTTTGCCTGAACTTAATCTACAGTGCTGTTGGGGAGTTTAAACAGAGCCGAATGACTGGTGTTCGTATGACTATTGCTACCCAAAATACCGAACATCAGACCACCCAGGGGAACAGTTAATTACTATTTTACCACCCAGTGATTGTGGAGCCGTTCGCATGGTTCAGACGAATCCCTTTGTCTCAGAATAGGTGGCCGCCATTTCGGGACTTTACACGTGTTCACGGCCATCTTACGCACGAACGGCGGTGTTTGCCTGTGAACGCATGGAACTAAAAACGGATACGCAAACAGGCGAACACCGCTGAGACCTCCAGGAGCTCGTAAGTTCGTGCTGAAACTACCGAACGACCGGCCGTTCGGTAGTTTTGTTTAAGCATGCATGGGGATTCAGGCGAACGGCAGGATTACTGTGGAGGGCAAGGGGTTCGTGGGGTTTTTATTCACGAACGGGGACCGACCGCAAGGCCAAAACTTGTGGAACTCTTTTCGGATGAAAATCCTGTGCGGTCGGTCAAAACTTCAAAGACCCATAACTCCCGAACCCCACAACCGAATGACTTGAGATTTGGATATGTTATTCCCCTGAGTGGTAGCTATTAAGCGGTGCTGGACTTAAAGGTGTACCCCCTGTTTTTGGGGTACATCCAGAATGTGGGTAAATTTATGTCTGTTTTAATTATGTTACATGTTATCTGAGGGGAGGAGACGTGGGGGTTGAACCATGTGTGTAATTGGCTGTGTTACTAATTATGTGGGTGTAGCCTCTCAGAGGGCACCCTTGCATAAAAAGAGATCCCCTGTGATTAAAAGTTAGTTCTACTTGACCCTTCAAAACGTAGCCTCATCTCGTTCTTGGAGGGGATTTATGGTACCGTTACTCTGCCTCATTTTACAGTACTGCCGGATTATACCCTGGGATATCGTGGATGGGAACCAGGACTCCATTACTACACAGCAGCTTGCACAGAAAAGGATATCTCCAACGGCAGATACCCCTCTACAGCTGGGTAGCCGTTACAATAATGTATTAAAGTGAACCATTTTGATTTTAAGGTATTTTAATACATTTCTTATTATTATATCATTTGAACGGTGTGCCATTTTATTTCTAATCTTTCCCTGTGAGGCTGGGGGACTGAGGTGAAAAAAAAGGGACTGAGCTCCTGGCCGCTGTCTGGACAGCTTTGGGATTAAATCGTTTGTAAACTTGTAAACCCCTTTAGGTAAGACGGCACCTAGGACCTCCAGAGACCATAGCTACTTCATTTAGATGAAGTTACGGTTCCTGGAGTGTTCCTTTAAAGATCTCTATCTCATGAGCCTCTCGTGCCGGTCTGTTGATGGCCAGCATGTACTTGTGGGTTGTGTTGCTTAGTTGTCACCCACACACAGTTCAAATAATCAGATCAGATTTAGAACTGCCCAGTAAGATAATAGGTTCCATAACAACGTAGCTCTCATTCAAGGTCCCATTGACCGTTTTGTGAATGGAGCTGGTCAGTACATAGTGAGTTTCAAGGTTTTCAAATTATAAACTGTTGTCCATTTATTTCCCCTTGTTTTTATGTTGTCATTTTTATTTTTTGTTGTGCAATGGCATAACAACACAACATTGGGCACAAGATAACGCAATATAGCAAAGAGATGACAAGTATTGCATTCAACACAGAGTTTTGTATCTGCACAGTTTTTAATTAATTAAAGATGTCATGTATACAGTTGTGTTTCAGACAGCATAATTCACCCAGGAGGGTTTTTTAAATTTTTTTTAAATTCACCTTTTCACCAGTTTTTAGATATACTTAACGTACATTGGTCTTATGATGAGTGTGATTTCAGTTGCTATGGTAATTTACGCACAATCATAATCCCACTGGAGCGCAAACTGCAGACATTATGGACGGAGGCAAACAAAATGGAGGAACCCAAGTATTGAGATCCGGCACAAGGAAATAATAATATAAATAATAATATAAATAAAAACAAAAAATAGAAAACTGAAATAAAAACCAGCAACAGTTCCACTATAATACAGGAATACTTTCAGATTTCCATTGAATACAACCTTTAACAATTTTAATATTGTTGTTAAAAAAGATATATATGAAATAAAATAAAATAATGAATTGTCCCTGGTGTTAGTTGATCTCCATCTGGAGAGCTGCTTTCCACCTGCCCTGCTCGACATAGAGGCTTATTTACTGTGCACGGGGCAAGGTGAAATGAGCAGATAACAGATAAATATTGTTAATTTTATACGTTGGCCTTCTGCCATCCTGACGCCGAATCCTCCCTCCTCACTCACAAGGATTTTCCCATCTGTGTCTTCGGATTAAGAGGCTTATGGCGTTATAGCACTGAGCAGAATAACAGGTCGAAACCTAGTAGCTTCAGTCAAGTATGGATTTGCCTTAATTGTTCATATTAAGAAAATATGTCCTTGAGGAATAAACTAGAGAGGAACACAGTTTTTTTTTTTTTTTTCTTCTTTCTCTCTGTGAAGTTAAATTGTTGAGTTATGCACAAAGGGAAACTGGAATTACCAGAGTACACTGAGATACTGATATCAGGGGATCTCTTCAGTTGCTTTTGATTTAATTCAAGTTTAACTTGTATATACTAGTTTGAGTGTTTTCTCAATTTTATTTTATTTTATTTCTTTAAGTAGTCCGTTGCTTGGGGGGGTGGGAGGGGAGGGGTCAGAGAGGGGGAATCTGACCTGAGTTGAAGCCCCTTTGTGTGGTCATGAAAAGCCCCAGGTTTGATTTTGGCACTCTGTAATTGTTAGCCCTGAGTCTCCTATAAAATTGGTAGAGAAATAAAATACTTGATGCACGATGATTGTAACTATACAGCAGAGTGTTGGAGGTATTGGCGTGGGTGCAGGTTTAAAATGGCTCTGTCACACATCCAAAAATGAGTTATTATTCATTTCAAAAAGATAAAACCTTGATGAAATATTCACGTTGACTGTGTTTGAATATCACTTTGTCTTATGCATTTTTTTCCTGCGCTTGACTAGAGGCGGAGCTACTGTCGTTAAGTTTTGTCATTTCCCCTAGTCGTCACTAGTGGCAGCTGTGGGGGAAGTGGCATTTTCGATGGGGGCTACTGTGGCCTTGTGGGATACTCCATAGACATCGGTGTTGTAGTATTGCATGCACTAGAGTACAGCACTTTCATTTGGTTCCTGGCAGGCAAAGCGCAGCCATGAGGGACTGCTTCAGATCGATAAAACGTGCCTTCCTCTGCAGCCCCAGGCCACCGCACTGCAAAGCCGCCAGAAGGTGACAGAGCAGGTTTAATGCCACGGGTGCAGGTTTAATTCTGAAGCTGTGGGATTAATACAGCAAGTGTGCAGTGGTTTATATTATACTCTGAATACTTTCCAAAAATGTGGTGTCATAATGTTATTCACGGACCATGCTAGGGTTTAGGGCATGGTATATATGGAGTGGGGTGGGCCTTTCAGTGTAAAATGCCCTATTGGGCACTATGGAGATGGTCTCCTTCTCTCAATTTGTTCTAAAACCAGAAAAAAATGTTTTGTTCACCTTAGCGCCGAGCAAAGCTCCCGGAGATGTCTTACTGCGCCCGCTCCTGACATCACTGGGGCTGTGCACCATCCAGTCGCAGGTTTCTAATTTCTCTTGCCTGCAAGGGGAAGATTTTAATGTCTGTTGTCAGCGCTGGACTCCTACTACCATGACCACTTCAAATCACTGAAGTGGTCATAGTGGTTGGAGTAAGCCCTTAATTTAATAATCGTAAAAGAGCTCATAACATTTTATCTTTATTTATCACGTAGCATTGCCCGTGATTTCATGAATCAAAATCGAATTTCGGGTTCCTTCACATTTTGTTGGTTTCTAACCCAAGTTTATTAAATCAATACCATTAACAGTATAGTCAAGATCTTTAAATGAAACCGTGTTTGTTTCGGTAAACTAATTAACATAAACCACGTAGCATTGCCCGTGATTTCATGAATCAAAATCGAATTTCGGGTGCCTTCACATTTTGTTGGTTTCTAACCCAAGTTTATTAAATCAATACCATTAACAGTATAGTCAAGATCTTTAAATGAAACCGTGTTTGTTTCGGTAAACTAATTAACATAAACCACACCCCCAAGCTATGCTTGTCTGGGACCCTTGTTACATCCCAGAAGGAGTTAAATTACTTTGTTTATGCAATTCTAGACACACCTCCCTGCATGTGACTGACACTACCTTCCTAAACACTTCCTGTAATGAGTCATCTAATGTTTATACTCCCTTTATTGTAAATTCTGTTTAATTTAGAATTTCTTATATCCTGCTGTTAGTAGCTTTCCTGTCCCTACAGGAGCTTACTGTATGTAACGAAAGCTCAATTTACAAAGCAGAAAATAAACCCTTATAAAGTAAGTTAACATCTTATTGAAAATTAAACCATTTTGTTTTCATGCAGGTTGTGTCAGTCACAGCCAGGGGAGGTGTGGCTAGGGCTGCATAAACAGAAACAAAGGCTATTTAACTCTTAAATGCCAGTGAATTGAGCAGTGAAAGTTCAGAGGCAGGATCTATACACCAAAACTGCTTCATTAAGTTATTTTGGTGACTGTAGTGTCTCTTTAAATTATCTCACCTCTACTGAGTACCCATCTTCTCATCCCATAATTTACCTTTTTTTTATTATTATTTATATAATGGCCAAAATTCCAGTAAAAACATCACGTTGAGAATCTAAAGTGAAAGGTAGCACTTATTTTTCTGTCCAAATGATTGATTACGTTTATGTGATGTACAAATGAAAACTCTGAACAGGTTTAGGTCTTATGTTTATGCTCACACATTTCTCTTAGATTTGGTTCCTGTTACTGTTCATTATTTGATTTGTTATGGCACAGGAAGAGTTAGCTTATGTGATTTACATGGTTATTCTGATAATATGTGTATGATGCTTGCTAACTTTTTTTTTTTTTTCCCTTCTCTCTGCAGTTGTTTAAGGTGGATTAAGTAATGATCCTCCGCCTTTACATCATGGTGATCTCATATCTTTGTGCCATTAGTGCTGCCCCCTACCAAAGCCAGAAGACAGATCGTGATTATGGCACCAAGATATCTTCCCACCCTTCCAATCCAACACTAGAACCCTTTAACATCAGTCATGGACTACAGGAGGTGCTATTACCAGACTTGGCCTCCACGTATCCAGATATGACTGGTAACGAATGGAAGCTCTACTCTCCTAGAGTTATTCTGTCCAGTCAAGAACCTTCAGATCCTCCTCTTCTTTTCTTAGCAGACGAGCCTGTCTCGCATTCGGAACCAGCAAATAGGACTTCACGGGTTAAACGGGCAATGGGATCTGACATGGCCAGTGCGTCCCGCCGGGGGGAACTTTCTGTGTGTGACAGCATGAACCTTTGGGTTACTGACAAGAGATCGGCTGTGGATGACCGAGGCAAGACAGTGACCGTAATGTCGGAAGTTCAGACTCTTACAGGACCTTTGAAGCAGTACTTTTTTGAGACGAAGTGCAACCCTGCTGGTGGAACTACCAACGGGTGCAGGGGTGTGGACAAACGACACTGGATATCAGAATGCAAAGCAAAACAGTCTTATGTGCGGGCATTGACTATGGACACCAACAAGCAGGTGGGGTGGCGCTGGATCCGGATTGATACTGCGTGTGTCTGCGCCCTGTTGAGTCGCACTGGGAGGACGTAAAAGGGAAAACGTTGAATGTACTGCTCTCTCTGTATTGCTACAGTTTGAGTAAACTGGAGGAGCTTCTTATCTTCTCATTAAGCTGTTTACAATGTGGCAAAGAGGCCAAGAGCCCATATCCCTACAGTCACAAACATAAATTTTGGGGGGTGGGGGAAGTCATAAAACAGCTGCCACGAGGAATGATTTAACTCTACCAGGTTGTGTGACTTCCAAAACTGGATACAAATTTTAAACAGTCCTCATCTAAAGGGAGCGATACTTTGTTAACCAGTGATAACTATGTTACTAGTGCCTTTTCAGTGTGGATTTGCACAGTTACATCTACATTATAAAGGGAATTTCGTAACATATCAAGGAGTTGGCAAGTTGAGGTTTCAAAAATCTTAAGGATCATGTATATTTACTCTTCACGATTAGGACCCATCCGAGAATCCTGACTAGGTGTCTCCATTCTGGACAAATCTAATCTTTTGCTCTCATTGACATGACAGACATGACTGTGTTGAATTATGAAATGTGAAGAAATGAACCAGCCAGATTAATTTTGTTATCCTGCCCATAACTTTATACCGTTCACATTGTAAGCTATTATAAATTGTTATTCTATATGTAAATATATCTATATAAATATATATGTGTAAATATATATTGTAACTTATTAGCAATTAATTTTTATGGATTATGTTACGGCCTTTATTCATTGTCAGAAAGGTATTCTTGCCAGTTATTTTCTCATATCCACTAGACTAACCCTTTTTACCGAGCTATATTTATTTGCCATCTGTTTCTCGCAAATATTAAAAACATTTTTTATAGATTTTTTTTTCACAAGAGGGGTCCACCAGTGATGACTGAAGGCTAGCTGTGCATCTTGGGAAATGTAGTTTGCAAACATCTGTGGTACCAAGATTAGCCATCAGTAGCACTCCACTCATATAAGTAACAGGCCATGATATCATGTAAGCTTTTCAACAGAAATAAAAAAAAAATTAATAGAATAGGAACGCTGTCTACATGTATATATTTAAAGCAAACTGTCATGTCTGGTTTCATCACAAACCAAAAGCTATGGCTTGTGATTATTTATTATTTTTATAAATTTTACATTCACATTCTATTCCTGGCTGTCCTGGCACAAAAAGGGCACACCATGCAAATAATTTAAACACCAGTACCACGTGCCATATGCACAGGTGCACGTCCGCACACGGCACAATGGAATGGCCGAGCATGCGTGTAGTCAAATGGTCACAGAGTGATGGCGTTCCCCTACGTGGAAGTGCTGCAGAGCTGTGCGCTTGTTGATGTTTTTTTGTTCATCAGAGATGTCCTCAATCATGCGCAGAGAAGTACCTGAAAATAGAAGCAGGCCGGCACAAATTCCGATCCCCGGCAGATTTATTAGAATATAAAGAGCTGGACAAAGGCTCGTAGCAGCCAAAATGTTGCACTTTATTTTTCAATAAATCTGCCTGGTATTGTATCTAATTTGTGTCTTGGAATGGAGCCGATCTCGAGTTTATATCTTTTGAAATGCATTGAGATTCCTGTGCAATGTCAAGACAATATATAGTTAATGAAGATTATTTGGTTTTGAAAAAGAAATGAAATATTACAGATCTACTTTAAAACACTGGCACTACTGAGATTTATGCACAACCCACTAAGTAACAATTTGCTAAGGGTTATGCTTTTATTTAAAAAAAAAAAAAGCAATTTTTTAAAAAGTATTTTTTATTTACATGGCATGCTGTTTAACTCACACACTCCTGCAGTGCCGTGCTCATGCATGCATACGTGTAAACGGCATGTTTAAGGAATTCCCAGAGTGCTCAGGTGTTTGTACGTCATTTCTGTGTATATCCTTGAGTCTTCCCTGGAGCATCATGGGAAACCGTGTTACCTGGAACGCAGAAGTGTCACGAACTATGTTTTTTTTACTCTGCAGCACTAACCACCACAGTGAAATGTTTCTGTAGCGTTTATTAGGGTGAGGGAACAAAGAACTGTCTCTCTCAGAGAAACAGCAGTTTAAAACCTATACAGAGAATCGGCCAGCACTCTTACAATTACAGCATTATCATTATTATTATTGCCATTTAGATAGCGCCAGCTTATTCCGCAATATTACAAAGGAGGAAATTTAACAGTAAATAAACAATTACAAAATGTTACAAGAACAATGATGAGGACTCTGCTCAGAAGAGCTTACAATCTAGCAGAGGTGGGGTATAAAAACATAATCGGAATGGCAGCGTGGGAAAGTATCAGAATTGTAAGGTGAGAGTGGAGTGTGGCTCTTTAAGAGCGAGCCAGAGACAGTTTTGTGAAATTCATTATCAAATATAATTGAGTATTTACTATCCTGTGGATGCAATTTCACCCCAGTCCTCTAGTTAAGCAATAGTTAAAATAACACTCCAAGCACTATCACCACTACCCTCAGCCAATGAGCCGGCTCTGCACTGTAGGGCTTAGCTCAGGGGAGCTAGTGGAAGCTCCGCGGGTACCTGGCAGACCCCTAGTAAGTTGTTAAGCTGTTTTGACTAATGCCTGGAAAGACCACTGAAACCATAACCACTACAGCACGCTGCAGTGGTTATAGTGTTCATTTATCTGTTGCTGAACTGGGGTACCAGGGTTGTATTGCTCCCACAGGATAGTGAATACTGTAGCTGTGTTAGTGCTGACTGCGTACTGGTTTTTCATAGAGGAATACACAGCTTACAATTCCTAATGCTTTTTAAATACATTTTCTTCCGTTAAAGAAGCAAAGGTTATATTTTTATGTGGTTCTTTGAGAAGACATATGGACACTTTATGTTTTGTGTAAAAAGGGTTTTTCAGTGGCAAATTCACTTTAAGTAAGATTGCTGCTTATATTTTATTCCATTGGGTCAGTTTCTGTTCATTTGTAGAGAAGTCTTTGAATAGTAACGTGTTATGGATATGAAAGGTGCATCAGGTCACGGCACACAAAATGACTGTGGACGTGGAATTTTCTAAATCTATTTATAACTGTAATATATGGGTTATCTCTGGTTGATAACTACATTACATTATGCAATGTTTTTAGGTTTTGTAATCTGAGCAGAGCAACATCAATGAATATCTGTTATTATATTGGTGATGTGTGTAATACGGTGATTATTCTGTGGCTGATATTGGTATTCAGCAGGGATATTATTATGGGGATATGGAACCCAGTCATAACAGCTCCCTCTCATGCGCACACACACAAAACCCAAGTGATGCCATTGCCTGTTGTCTATTATGGAAAACTGGTTCTAAATCAGAAAATTACAAAGGCTCATGATAAGGTTGAATACTAGCACATAATTCTGCCCTGTAACGGCTAGTTCTTTAAGCCAGTTGTTACTGATCATACACCTTTTTGGGGAGTTGACATACCAGAAGTTTACTATTGTCATTTTTTTTTAAAATGGACCCTTAGCTTTCTCAAATTGTGGTTTATAATACCTCACACACTCATACTAGTAACTGGTCTAGATTTTAAAATAACCAACTTATGTCGATCAGGAATCTGTTTTATCTGTGTGTCAGAGGGCGCGGCCATATTAACTGTCACATGATTTGCATTTTAGTCCCTACCCTATAACATTTGCCCCTCCATATTGGTGGAGGCCAATTCTAGCTTCCTTGGGAATAGGAGAAAGGTGAATGGGCAGGTAAGGATTGTGTTTTACAGGCTATGACCAAAAATATATACACTAAACATTCTATATGTCATTTCAATAAATATATTATATTTTACTAAACACTGGTTCTGAAAGGTCCACTTAAATATTAACATTCAATTACGGTAAGCCTATATGTGGCTATATTGTAATATAGCCGATATAGTGGCGCTACATATCTCACTAATTTGGTCAGCCTACAACGATTTGATATTCATATACGATCCAATTACACCAATTTTTAGAAACTTTATATTGGGTTCCTGCAGTCCCACTTCCTTGGAAAATCTAAAAAAAAAGAAAAAGAGAGAAATAATTGTTAAAATTGCTGTCCATCCATCTGTGCAACTGGCTGAGATCCCATAGGACAGGTTATAGTCCCTTGTGTCCCACTATAGTCTTTCAAAAATTTGGGAGGTATGGGAACCAGAGTGGCCACAAGCCAGTTGGTGGACTGCACCTTTCTGATCTCTCTACTGTTGTTTAAGGTCTTCACAGGTTATCTTTTATTGGAGGTTAACTTGTCAGAAGACCAAAATTTCATGTAGGTCACGACAGCAAGGAAAGTGAGAATTACCCAGCATTAATGAATGTATTCGAGAACTCCACCATCTATGCAAGAAAATGTGTAGCTTAAATCAGGACCAAAAAGTTAATTGTGACATTTCTATCATAGAGAGTGAATTCTCTGGCCCCTTTTTAAAGAAACCAATACAAGCCTTTCTCAAATGTTTATCAAATAGCTTTTTCATCACCTACAGTTAGTTCAACGGCTCCTCTTTTAGGAGATCCTGGACTGCAAATGTGGTAAGTCCTGGAGAACTTCTGGGTTTGGACAACTAACTAGTCTACCACCAGATTCTCCAATGCTTACGTAAAAGTATTTAACAAATTGAGTTTATTGAGGAGGATTACACATGTTTGACCTACAGATGTTCTCAGATGTTGCTAGATATTCTATAATTTGATGCCTTAATCTGATGTTTGATTATCTATCAACGAAAACCTGAAAGTCTAGAATTCAGAGTCTCGGTAAATGTATGCAAGTAAAATAAACAAACACCAAAATGGAAAATACCATTTCATTGCAATATACATATATATTAAAACATGGTATTACTTAACAAACACTCATTTTGTAACTTGGCTTCCCAATGTTTTCATTCTTGGTTTTTAAATAATTTATTTCTGTTTATATAATTTTCTATGACCAATAGTTTGTTGACATATTTTTTTTGTTTCTGAAAACCTCTAAAATGGAAACTAAACAATAAAAAAAATTGTTTGTTTTTTTTAAATCTCGTCTTCAGTTTTACTTCTTTAGTAACTTATTTCTTTTTAGTATGTTTCCACCTACTTATGTTACTATCACAATATTAACTACACGAGGGCAAATTACTATTGTGCCAGCTTATAATGGCCTGAACACTTACCCTAAGTGTTTTAGGTAATCTCCTTCAAAAAAAGTTTTTTAAGGGCCGAACTATGAAAAGGATATAGAGAGTCATGGATCCGACCAGGGATTTATGAAGGTTCCTGCTTCCATTCTAAGAAAAGATAGACAATAAAGACCCCCCCACAACTCCCCTGAAAGCACCTCCCCCACATAAAATCTACACACAACATTACAGACAGCTGATATACATACACTACCTTACAAACACCCTCCCACACACACACACACACACAATACCAAAGACAGCCTATATCACACATACAAGTACTTCAAGCAACTATAAACATTTAACAGAAGGACACATAAACACAAACAATATTACTAATGGCTCACATACAATAACAAAAATAGTAGAATCAGCTGCATATGCACTATTATCAACACAGACAGCCCACATAGCTTAAACATCATGAACAGCCTGCACACATACATAACACAACCTGCACATAATACAACATACATACATGTATATGTATGTACATATACATACACATAACACCACAGACAGCCCCACATACATAAATACCACAAACCGCACACACACATACAAAACATAATAGGCAGCTCACAATCATTCACACAATACAACGGGCAGCCCACAAAGCCTACCCCTGGTTTAAAGCTTACAAATACCATAAAGATAAAAAAAATAAGGCGTGTATTAGTCAGAGTAGGTAGTAAAAGCACATTTAATGGAAGGAGTCAGCAAGTCAGTGGAATGCAATTGCTTTGGTAGCTAGAATTCCCCCAGGTGATTGTCTGATTGGCCCGCCACATGAGATTAACTTGTCACCACACTTGAGATATCACAAATAGTACGTTCTACAGCACGCAGAGTGCACCATGTCTCATTCTGATTGGTGCATCTGATCCTGGTGTGGGAGTGGCTAGCCTGCAGCTGCAGAAGACGCTTTATCCAACTACGCTCTATGAAACGTTAGCAACTTCATTATGTTTAAATGTTTTAAACTTCATTTTTTGACAATATTTTTAATGCAGTATCTATATAATGCAGTAAATGATATATGGTCAGATATTTATACATATATAAAATAAGAGTTCTGTGAAGTGTGAATATCTCTCACTCACTAATAAAGTAATTACGGTGGGCTTTAAACGTCTGCATCCTTACAGGCCTTACTTCTAACTCCTGCAAAATTATTTTCAAAAATTGCAAACTTTAGAGAAACAACAACGTAAGCATCCAGGGTTATGTATTAAAGTGCAAATTGTCAATAACCCATTGGGAAACTTAAATTATACGTAAAAAATAGCCAGAGTGTAAATATTCTCCAAGGCAGCCATGTTTTAATTTTGATTATTTTGGCATAAAAAATTCAAATGTACTTAAATATACTTTAAAGTGAACAGAATTTAGACTTTAGTGAATATCATTGTTCTGACATTTCTATAATAGAAATCCTTTGATGTGAAGCAGTGATATTTCACAGTAACATTCACTGGTCTGTTTCCATTCCCTGTGCAAGGTTAAGGTGCTTAAAGGAACACTATAGTGTCAGGAACCAAAACATGTATTCCTGACACTACAGTGTTAAGCCCTTATGGACACATGATGGAAATATTCCGTCATGATTCCCTTTTAATTCTGTAGTTGTGTCCTTACGTTGTTAAAACCCCATTTTAGGTGGTCAGCACCCCCCCCGTGTCCTGTTATATAAGTAATGCCGCTACTTGCTACACCCATGCTCTGACTCTTTAGCTGAGGCCATCAAATTTGTTTTCAAATTAGCCAATCCAATGCTTTCCCTTAGGAAACTCTGCGCTTCACCAATCAGCTTCTCCTCGTAGAGATGCATTGAATTGATTATGCAGCACTGACCCAGGAAGTCCCTCTAGTGGCCTTCTGAGTGACTGAAAAAGGCAGTGTTTACATAAAAATGCATGCAGGGACATACTGTACTACATAAAGTGGTAGTTGTTTTGGTGACTATAGTGTCCCTTTAATCTACGGGCAGTTCATAGGTGGTGGCGTAGATAGTGGCGTAGATAATCACTCAATAGGTATTTGGTTAGAGAGAAGTTAAACGGAACACTGCCTTGGGAGTGAAGTGGATGCAGAGACTTGACCAGTCTGATCTATAATCCAAACCCATAGGAGTATTGTGCTGCTTTCAGTGAAGTAGACACATCAACAATTGTGGTTCAGATTTCATGACAGGTATTTGGACCATCTCAGGAGACCTTATTAAAACCAGGCATTAGCCACAATTGGGATTAGCCACAAAGCCACGCACCTCAGCAAACATGAATTCCAGGCTACATGACACAAGGGACAGGAAATAAAAGGTTTAGAGCCATAGAATTCCCGTCGCTCCTCTTCTGCTGCTGGCTGTTCAACTGCCTGGAGCTGATGTAACTGCTGTATTCTAGCAAAGTACGGCATTGAGGTCAAAGTAGGGTCCCACAAGACCATGGGATCCACCATAGAAAGAGCTTGTGCCACATTAGGAAACTAAAACGAAAAATCTACTTCCTTAACATGCCCGCCCATTCAATTGCCTTTTTATGTGGATCATCACATGCAATATGTAAACACCATACATAGAACAGTTTAACTGTTCTAGCGACAGGTGGGTTTTGATGTAAGTATCGTGCGAATTTGGGTATTTTTTAGAAAGGCACATTTGTGGTTGAAGCTATTACTAGGACAGAGGTGTATTGCTGTGTACCTGAGTTATGCTGTCTGGCTGCATTTTTTTGAAAATCAATGAAAATTGAGCCTTACCTTGCGCACTAACAAACTTTAAACTAGATCTGCTTGGAAACCAATTTGTGGTATTGACATGTAATTACTAAACGGGAAGCGAATACCTTCTTTGGGATGCATTTTTTTTTCACCTTGAGTGAAATGGCCTAATCCTATGTAATAATTATTCTGTGGTGGGAAAGGGTGGTAGACATCCCACAGTAGTGCAATGTAAAGAACCAGCACTACAATAAGACAAATAATGCATTCGCCTCAGGTGTCGACCTGTGATAGCCTCTGTGGGCTATTGTACAAAAACTGGGATTAGACATTATGGTTTTCCAACCACAATAAGCTGTAGTAGAACGTGGGGGAGCATTGTTGGTGCCTGTGTCAGATAAACAGCACTTTTCTTGCCCTGGGCCTCTAGAATTCAATAATGCCTGCCTTCCCCATCCTTTATATCTCAGGTAGAAAAAATTGACAGGAGAATGTCTATACCAGGTATAGGCAACCCTTGGCACTCCAGATGTTCTGGGGGTACATCCCCCATAATGCTCTTACACCCATAATGCTGGCAAAGCATCATGGGAGGTGTAGTCCAAAACATCTGGAGTACCGAAGGTTGCCTATGCCTGGTCTATACAGTTACAGGCAGCAGAGGGGATTGGGGGGGATTAAGCTTAGGGATGGACGCAGGGTTAGTAGGGTTTAATGCTAGAAAGTGATTTAGGAACCATTCTTATGTGGAGAATGAACAGAGGTCCAAACTGATAACCTCCCTAGCGCTCTGTGGGATCTTAACCCTTCTCTTTCTGCCCATAGTGGCTGTCATTCAGGCCCCTTTTCCAAGAGAAAAGCCATTCACCGTCCTCGTCCCATATACCGTTATGTCTGGGGGACATGCACGCATTTTAGCCACACATTTTCAATTCTATTGACGTTACCAAAAGTGTTCAATATAGTGAATATTTCTTTTTTTTTTTTTTAAATTAAGGTCAAAACAGCCAACTGCAAAGCATTCTGCTCTCTTTACAACTCTGCTTTTACAACTCTGCTTTTTTTTGGCAAAAATATAAATGCAAATCTCTTGTCCATTCTTCAAATTCTTCCCCCTGGGAGGGGGAGGCAGACTCATAGATCTTTACCTAGAGTGCCCCAGTCCTGGCTTGGTATAGAGATTATTCATGACAGCTTTTATAAACGGTTCATAAACAAAATGCAAATTTGTTTTATTGGAGCTATAAAGTTACATAAACCCACAGGACAGTGATACCCTGCAGACAAAAATCAGGTTACTGATTCAGATGTTCAGATTGCAAGTGCCAGCGCATATTTTGGTAGAAGTAACATTTCATCGCTGCTGGGCATGTTAACACCTTCTTTTTAAACTCGTATAGTTGTTTTGTAATGAATATTTTGGTTATTGCTAAACTACGCCAGCAGACCTTTAGAGATTAAATGAAAACAAGATACCATGAGCTTCACTATCCATTCAGATTTTCCTTAGAATGGAATGTTGTACACATTCCCAAAACCTTTAAAAGAATTAATTATGGAAAAATAAGAGAAATAATAAGAGAGGTCTATGATTTTTTTTGGAACCATTTGCAGCCTACATATTTTGTGTGAATCGAAAGCAATGATTTTAAATAGAGGCCTTAAATGTATTCATTCAGAGACTGTGCATACATTCCAACATTTCAAATGGACGAGGGACATGTCAATTTTCGGTGACTTCATTTATACAACTAAAATTTAATTGCGAAAAAGAAAAATGTATCTTATTTACAAAGTCTGATTTCTAAACACATTTATTGTACTTTACATACACATTACTGGGAGTATTATTGCTGTGGAGCTCTGTTATACACTCAGGCACATTCCTGGGAGTATTATTGCTGTGGAGCTCTGTTATACACTCAGACACATTTCTGGGAGTATTATTGCTGTGGAGCTCTGTTATACACTCAGAGACATTACTGGGAGTATTATTGCTGTGGAGCTCTGTTATACACTCAGACACATTACTGGGAGTATTATTGCTGTGGAGCTCTGTTATACACTCAGACACATTACTGGGAGTATTATTGCTGTGGAGCTCTGTTATACACTCAGACACATTACTGGGAGTATTATTGCTGTGGAGCACTGTTATACACTCAGGCACATTACTAGGAGTATTATAGCTGTGGAGCTCTGTTATACACTCGTACACATAACTGGGAGTATTATTACTGTGGAGCTCTGTTATACACTCGGACACATAACTGGGAGTATTATTACTGTGGAGCCCTATGATACACTCAGACACATTACTGGGAGTATTATTGCTGCAGAGCTCTGTTATACACCCAGACACATTACTGGGAGTATTATTGCTGTGGAGCTCTGTTATATACTCAGACACACTAACAATATGGAACTCCTAGAAAAGAGGAACAGAGGGATTTGGGCCCAAAATAGTGACTGCCCTTCCTAAACAGGGACACTTGGCAGGTATAGACTGTGGCATGCTTTATATTCTTATTTTTTGTAACATATGTAATGGGAAGTCAGTGATGTAAAGACAGTAAAATTAAATTGTTGAATAATGTAATATATTGTCCCCCTGTTTTGTGTCAAATTTTGAGTGGACTGAGGAGACAAAAACCCTGAATCTCTGCTATAGCTCATGGAAAATGCTCCATTTCACACACTAAAATTTAGTGAACTTATCATGCTACCAACACATTGATATCCTGACATGATATTTACTAACAGGGGAAATTGATTTTTTGATGTTACTGTCCCTTTAAATGTAGATTTATATATCTTATATCTAAATTGCTGGTGAAACTCCGTAAAGTGGGATCTAGAATACGACAAACAAGTTATTTTAATTAAGCAATTTTCTTCCATCAAATATATTTTCCTGTTGATTCATGTGAGCGAACATTATTTTCTATGTAGCTATTGCAGCATTGTCAGTACACTTGTTCATGAAAATGTAAATTGTACAAATTCATTCTGCATCATGACAGCATCTTGCAGTCTGCGCAGCATGGAAGGTTCAATGAACTGGATGGCATGTGAAGCATAGCATGGAGACTTGGACAAAAAATGTAAATGGTGTAAGACAGGCACCTAGTGGTTACATGAGGAATAGCACGATGCAGCTGATTTTTGCTAATGGAATAAAAACATCACATGTAAAGACATAATATGAACTTAAAAATAATCACTCAAATAGAAAAAACTTTAATCTTTTATATATATATATAGTTAATAAAATGTTAAACAAAAATCTGCACACTAGTCAATCCGTAAGACTTGCTTTTCTATAGACACCCAGCCCACTCCAGCTCATTGAAGTGGTCTGGGTGCAGTGTCCCAGGTTCCTTAACCCTGCAATGGTAATTATTGCCGTTTTTGAGAAACTGCACTAATTACCTTTCAGGGTTAACTCCATCTCTAGTGGCTGTCTGCCAGTTCCTCTACCAGACAGCCAATAGAGACTTTTGGTCACCTGACGCTGGACGTCCTTACGCTATGCATGAGGACACTAGCTTCATACAAAACCCCATAGGAAAGCATTATACAATGCTTTACTATGTGGGAAGTCCTAATGCGAGTGCGGCACGTGAACCAGCACCGAGGGACATCAGCGCTGGATTCAGGTAAGTGACAGAAGGGGGTTTTTAACTGTGGGTAACTATAGTGACAGGAAAACAACTTTGTTTTTCTAGCGCTATAGTTTCCCTTTAAATAAACTCTAATTCCACATATCCTGACACGACACACAAAGACATACATATATAATTACACCAGGGCTCACAGTGAATATACACACAGAGGCATATATTCACATTACATGCACATACAATCAAATACACGGTACATCTACACCAGCACATATATTGATCTGCAGGGGGCCCGGGTCCTAATTTTGCCCTGGGGCCCAAACCACTGTCAGTCCGTCCCTGACGGCTAATTAAACTCATCTATCTAAAAAAAACAAAAAACACAAATATGGGGATTCAGTTACATTGAGGAACTGGGCATGCATGTGGCTATTGTGACGCAAAACAGTTAAATGCAAAGTGAAGCATTTTTTAATAAAGAACCCACAATAATTGTATTCATATATTTGCTTTGCCTTCTTTACTGAAGCCCAGGGAACAGTTAAGTGGAGTGGGCCTTGACTTAGCAAGGAGGCAGGCATATGGATAGGGGGAGAGGACTACTGGAATTTGGGAAGGGGTGGCCTATAGTCACATAAATAGTGGCCATTTTAGGGAGAGCCCCCTTTTTAACTTAATTCCCACTTACCTGTTGTTGTTGCAACACGTCGGTGTGGAGTTTTGTTTTGCAGATGGATTCCATGGATGCAGTCCATGAGATGGAGGCCTTCCTTGCCAGTGTCTGGGCAGCTGTGGCGGATCGTGGTGTGGCCTGGATGCAGGAGCGCTTAGGAACGTCAAAAGGAACAGCAGGAGTCCCTGGAGCCCAGACGCGACGAACGCAGAAAAGACTGAGCCCAGAAGAGGATCGGGCTACCGTTCTGGCGGAGAACCCTCCCCTACTGACACCCGTATCCAGGATGAAGAGTGGAGACAACCTGTTGCAGCCTCATGGTGGTCGTGGATGGCGAACATGTGCAGCTGCACGCCTCGGAGGTCCGCTGCGAAGTTAGGTGTGAGGCCAGGATCACGCAACACTGCACTTTACGGTGGTCGCAAAAAATACCCGGAATATGGCTGCGGGAGGCCCCAAACCAGCGGGGGGCACTCCTGGGAGAAGAAACTTGCACAAGAAGCTGGCGGAGGTCACCCACTTACAGGAAGTCGACTTGGATATGCTGTCATGGCATTACAGCAAACATGTCAAACTCGCAGCCCACGAGCCGCATGCGGCCCACAATGAACATCTTTGCGGCCCAGCAAGCCGCGAATTTGAGACATGCTTACTAAGGCAGAGTAGGCACCTGCTCTCCTTACATTGCAGGTGCCTACTCTGCTAAAAATTTACCCGGCCAGGGAAGAGAGGTCCTTGGCGGCAGCGAGGGAGCTCGCGCGCACCCTCTTTAGTGATGCCGGGTGCCGGAATATGACGTCATGAGGGAGCAGTGAGGAGCAGGAAGACTGAGCTCCAGAAAGAAGATCCCCACTGGACCCCAGGGAGAGGCCCCACACCAGCTTCCAGAGGTAGGGAGCAATAAAGAAAATTATGTTCGTGTTTCTGTCTGTCAGTGAGTGTGCCTGTCAGTGAGTGTGTGTCTGTCAGAGTGTGTGTGTGTCTGTCAGAGAGTGTGTGTGTCTGGTGTGTCTGCCTGTCAGAGAGTGTGTGTGTCTGTCAGAGAGTGTGTGTGTCTGTCAGAGTATTCGTGTGTCTCTGTCAGAGAGTGTGTGTGTGTCTGTCATTGAGTGTGTGTGTGTGTGTGTGTCTGTCAGAGAGTGAGTGTATCTGTCAGAGAGTTAGTGTGTCTGTCTGTCAGATAGTGAGTGCGTGTGTCAGTCAGAGAGTAAGTGTGTGTGTCTGTTGTGAAAGAATTTACTTTGATTCCAAGGTTCACACTTATAGGTATCATATTAGATATCCTATATTAAAGTTGGCTAATTTGGACTCAGGAAATGCTTAAAACGACACTCAGGACCATTTATGTCTAGTTCCGGGAGCAGATAGCCCCCACATGAGCTGTCTCTCCTAAATCAGTCTGTTCTCTCTCGGAGCTTATCTGTTATATGTACATGACATTCATCCCTATGTCTTATCTGTACTCCTTTCACGCTTTCACTCCCTTCCTACCACTATCCTATGAGTATTTGCACGTAAGCACTTACTTTTTAATGTTTAAAAACACAACTGACAAAATAAAGGTCAGAGGCTTATTTTGATTACCAACAGGTGTCTGGTGTCTAATTCACGTTTCTCCAAGTGCACTTGAAATAATAATTTGGGCTCCCTTGAATATACTAAAGATCACAGTGGATCTATATCACTGTTAGTGTGTGTTGGTCAGTGTTGCGATGGCCGCGGCTGGACGGTGGAGGACCTGGAGGTGCACGAAGGCACGCAACGCCATGTCACATTCTGACATGACATCAACGTGCTCCACCTTCACAGGTTTTTCAAGTAAAAGCGTGAGGATCCGCTTTGGCACAGGGTGTGTTCGGCGCCATTGGGGGTATACCAGAGGCTGGACTCCAGAGTCGCATACTGGTAGTGGCAATGTGAGTAGAGTCTGTTGGCTAATATTGTTTTGTTTTTGTTTGTTTTTAAACAAAGGCCGGGGTTTAGTAGAGGGGGGACTGGAATTTAGTATAGAGGGGGGGACTGGAATTTAGTATAGAGGGTGGGACTGGGATTTAGTATAGAGGGTGGGATTGGGATTTAGTATAGAGGGTATAGAGGGTGGGACTGGGATTTAGTATAGAGGTGGGACTGGGATTTAGTATAGAGGTGGGACTGGGATTTAGTATAGAGGAGGGACTGGGAATTAGTATAGAGGATGGGACTGGGAATTAGTATAGAGGATGGGACTGGGATTTAGTATAGAGGGTGGGACTGGGATTTAGTATAGAGTGGGGGACTGGGATTTAGTATAGAGTGGGGGACTGGGATTTAGTATAGAGGTGGGGACTGGGATTTAGTATAGAGGTGGGGACTGGGATTTAGTATAGAGTGGGGGACTGGGATTTAGTATAGAGGGTGGTACTGGGATTTAGTATAGAGGGGGTGACTGGGATTTAGTATAGAGGGTGGGACTGGGATTTAGTATAG